AAAAAAAAAAAAATTAAAATCACCCAGAGAAGTATAGCTCATGCACCAGGCTCCAGGTTCAATATCTAACACCCCCATCCCAAAAAATAGCCATCAGAAAAAAAGGGCACATATGTAGGAAACTACACACTACATGGATAAGAACTAACTTCTCATCAGAAACAATGAAGGCTTAAGACAATGAAACAATCTTTAATATGTTAGAGGGGGGGGGGGGGAAGCTGTCTACCTAGAATTCTAAATCCAGAAAAAAATCATTAAAAAATGGTGAAGTAGACATTTGGAGACAAACAAAATCTGATCAAAATGGTATCTTCAGAGCTGAGTTTAAAGAGATTAATAATAAAAGAAGTTTTTTCAGGTTAAAAGAAAATTTTTCCAGATGAAAGCACAGGTTTGCACAGAGGAATAAAGGGAGCAAATAAGGTTATAAGTGGAGATTCTTATATATTATTAAAGAATAAGAATATATGATGGGGTTTATAATATTGAGGTACTATATAACAACATCTGAAAGGATGGAAAGAGATAAAATGTAACTATAGTTAAGGTTACAGATCCCTAACTTATTACAGATAATTTTATTAAATCACAGATGCACATTGCAATCCCAAAGTAATATGGCTCCAAACTCGATGTTCTTTACCACCATGCAATGTTGCTATTTGTCAAGTGAATATTTTTGCCACTACATGAAGTTGCAATATTGACAATAATGTATAACATCAGTATGATTTTAGTCAAATCCATGATTGCACTGAGAAATCCCTGAGATTCTAAGGTCTGCCCTGTTCACAACCTCTTCTAAGTTGCCAGAGATGGGTCCTTCCATATAATTTGTGGTACCCTGTGGTACATAGGCCACAAATGATTGTACCAGGGATATATGCCCTAGTTAAGGGAAGCCAACCATTTGACTAGACATAAGGGAGGCCAGTAGCAGAATGACCCAGTAGAATAATCTCTGCCCACCTAGGTGGCTCTGTTTGGGATTATAATGAACAGAATCAATCAGACCCTCTTTGGGGGACAGTAGAGGATAGTAGAAGTAGCAGAGCAGGAAGTAGGCAGAGAAGTTGGAGAACACATGAATAAGGTACATATTGTGACCACACAACACTGCACAACCACTTTGAAAGTGAGGACACAGCTCAGCCATCTAGTTCTATTTCTCACTAGATGATGAAATTATTTTCCAACTCTCCAAGAAGCCATGACTTTGATGAGGCCATTTCCTTACTTGACTCTGTATTCTTACAATAAGCCTCCAACACTTAAGGTAACGTGAGTGTGCGTTTGTTCCTTGCAACCTGAAAGAGCTTGTCCAAATTTGTCTTAAAAAAATTAAAAATCCAGACTTGCAATACAGCACATTAGAATAAATAATTCAGGCATAGATAATGCCACATAAAAAGGGATTATACAACCTGAAGTCTAGGCTTTGACATTTACTTTAATATGGGGAATAAGAAAAACGCAATGAAAATTACTACACAATTGTTCAAAAGATAAATGGAAATGTGAATAGTTAAGCACCCACAGAGTTCTCTCAATGCCATTTAAAAAGCAAGCATTCTTCAAATTGTACTTTAATTCAAGAATCAAGGCTAAGTGAGGAAGGCATTTAGTAAGGATGCTTATTTTTTCAGGTTCTTTATATCAAAATGAAAGTAATTTTCACCCCAGTTCATTTTTGAAGACAATGCAAAGATTTTCTCTCTCTCTCTCCCTCTGTGTGTGTGTGTGTGTGTGTGTGTTATCTTTTCATCTTAACCAAAGTAGATTTTTGGGAAGAGGATATATACTGTACCTAATGACTTGGAAAAAGGAAACCGGGATCTCTTTCAGCTGTCAATCAAACCATAGGAATTTGGTTTCTCATCAACTTGAGGAGCTGTGTAAATACATATAAGCTTTCAATTATTATGACTTAAGAAAATCGCCTCAACAGTCTTGTTAAGCACTAATAATGGTTTAACTGACATCCGACTACTTTTTTAAAGCTTATTCCAGCTGTAATTGTTTTGAAGGTTGACATTCACATCTGCATTTTCAGTGCACCTACACCGTTCTTAATATTCCCAAATAAGCCAGCAAAATCATTCTGTACCATTTAAAGCTTTTAATGCTATTATAATGCCTATTATAGCACTATTCTGGAAGATCTCTGAAAAAGACAGTCTTTTTGCCCAGTTATTTCATTATCTTCCCTTTGGCTCACAAATGGCCCAACTGTGTCTGTCCCGGGGGACAAACTCTTTAAACTAGGAATTTTCCCTCACTGAATATATCCATTTACAGTCAGAAAACCTTTAAGGTACTAACAGGGATGGGTTATAAACTCATATGGGATTACAGAACTCATAATAGTACTACAAAAGAAAATAAAGACAACACACTATGAATTTTTTTTTCATAGAGTACTACAATTTCCAAGAGTTTTTTTCAAGAAACTAATTTTTTTTTTTTTTAAATATTGAGTCCAACCCAGGTCCTTGTGCATAGTAGGAAAGAGATAAACCACTGAGCTACATACCCAGCCCCACATATTGGGATTTCTGAAAGTACAGTGGTATATAGTTTTAAAATAAAGCTTACGTTGACATATACTGCCACAAACCTCTCCCCCCACAAAACACTAACTCAATAAATATTTAATATTGAGCTGGATACAATGGCACACACCTGTAAGCTTAGTGGTTCAGGAGGATAAGGTAGGAAGATCAAAAGTTCAAGGACAATTTCATCAATTAAGTGAGGCCCTAACCAACTTAGCCAGACCCTGTCTCAAATTAAAAAAAAAAAATTTAAAGGGCTGGAGATGTGGCTCAGTGGTTAAGCACTCCTAGTTCAATCACTGATACCAATAAATAAACAAATAAATAATACTGAGATCATGTACTTATGACTTAATGCACTTACTTTATTATAATCAAGTTGGTAATTTAAAAATAGCTTAATAGGTAAGCTATATTTGAATATCACCTTTTAATTCTGATAACATTGTTATATAAATGTCTTATTTACTGTTCAATAAACTCCACTTTCATTCACACTTAAAGTAAATCTATCAAGTGAATCATACTTTATCTTCAAAGTATACACAACAAAATTCTCTAGCTTAACCACTGCACTGTCAGATATACTATGTAATAACTCGCTTAACACAATTTTGTTACTCTTACCTATAGTTCTGCTAAGCTTCAAGGTGTATTCAATTGACAATCATAAAAATTGAAAATGGGAGTAATTTGCAAATACTATAGGAATGCAGACTGACAGTTCTTTTAGAGAAAAATTTGGCAATTAACAAAATTTTATATGTACAGTTTAACCCAGCAGATTCACATGCAGATTCATCCAACAGAAATACCAATACAGTGCCAGGCATGGTGGTGCATGCCTGTAATCCCAGCAGCTTGGGAGACTGAGACAGGAGGATGGTGAGTTCAAAGCCAGCTTCAGCAAAAAATGAGGCATTAAGCAACTCAGTGAGACCTGTTTCTAAATAAAATACAAAATAGGGCTGGGGATGTGGCTCAGTGGTCAAATGCCCCTGAGTTCAATCCCTGGTACCCCATCCCCCAATAAAAAAGAAAACCAATACAGGTGAAACGAGATATAAACAGGTAAATGAAACACTGTTGGAAACAGTGACAAATAAACCTGTAAATAAAGTTCACACAGCAGGCCTGAGATTTCCGCCCTTAGAAAGGTCGACTTCCAAGGCTGGCCCTTGGCTAGCATCTGGGATGTTGGCTGGTGAAATTGTTCCATACTCTTACATACAGCTTTCCTTAAAAATCTAAACCCAGAGACTGGGGTTGTGGCTCAGTGATAGAGCACTTGCCTCACACGTGAGGCACTGAGTTCGAGACTCAGCACCACATTTAAAAAAATAAACAAGTAAATAAAGGTATTGTGTCCACCTACAGCTAAAAATATTCTTAAAAAAAAAAATATATATATATATATATATACACACACACACACACACACCTGGATATATGACACTATCATGGAAATGATGAGGCAACAATATAAGCCAAAGCCACCTAGTATTAGGACTCAACTAGTCTTAAAATAAACTTTCCTTACTGTTTAAGACATTTTTTAGTTTTACTACTTAGAGTCAAAAGCACTCCTCTGGATTTCCATTTCTGTTGGCTTATATAAAAAGATAAGAAATTATAGGCCTGAACTCTAGGTTTATATCCAACACATTACTTACTAACTTCATAAATGTGAGCAAAGCACATCCCATCCTAAAGTTTCTTTGTTGTACAAGTGAAATGACATCCTGTATTTTATAAGTACTACTGTAAAAGAGATTGCAACTCAGTGCATTAGCTGGACAATACTGGTAAATGACAAGAATGGGAGCCTAACTAGAAAAGGATATATTCCATGTTTGTGTAATTATATCAAAATGGATTTTACTGTCATGTACAACTAAGAAAACCAATACCTTTAAAAAATATTTATGATCAGACAAGTTCTAGCAAATAACCGGGTATAAAGTGGCCAATAGTACAACCACACTGGATGTTCCAATCTTAAGAATCCCAGAAGCCCTGCCCATGTCCAGATCATGAAAACAGCCCCAACTATTACCAGACACATCTGATGTCAGTTAAGGGAAACACCTGCTTTTAGTAACTAATATGATAGCATGAATTTTTTGATTATTTTTTTTAAAGGGGAGAGAGAGAGAGAGAGAGAGAGAGAGAGAGAGAGAGAGAAAGAGAGAGAGAATTTTTTAATATTTATTTTTTAGTTTTCGGCAGACACAACATCTTTGTTTGTATGTGGTGCTGAGGATCGAACCCGGGCCGCACGCATGCCAGGCAAGCGCTCTATCGATTGAGCCACATCCCCAGCCCCAATAGCATGAATTTTAATAAACACAAGTTTTATTAGGGTCAGCATTAGTATGTTAATGCAAAAAGATTACATACAAGATATACATTTTCACTCCACAGAACACTCACAGATTTGGATTTATTCTTTAACCAAGACTTTAATTCCTAACTTACAATGTGGAAAACAACATGAAGCATAATCAACAGAAGTCAGGTTGAACCAATCACATGGTATGGAAATGATCTGCTACTGGCAGCAATCAAATATCATAGCTCAAGCAATCTCTATTTAAATGTCTGCAATAAGAAATTAAGAGTGGTCCATTCATGAAGCTATAGAAATATTTTCTGTGATTACCAAATATTCTGTACCAGAGATACATTCTGAACTTTATATTACTCCTAAAGGTTTTATTAGAAATAATACTTAAGTATTATGATTAAATAGTTTATTGACTACTCTTTATATCTATATGAACACAAATGTACATATATACCACATATACACAAACATAGATGAATGCATACACGTATTTATTTGACTAAGGAGGGCTTTAAAACAAGCACTAAAGAATATGTAATTAGGTCTGTAATCCCAGCAACTTGGAAGGCTGAGACAGGAAGATTGAGAGTTCAAAGCCAGCTTCAGTAAATTAGCAAGGAACTTAGTAACTCAGTGAGACCCATCTCTAAATAAAATATTTAAAAAGCTTGGGGGATGTGGCTCAGTTGTTCAGCCCCCTGGATTCAATAATCCCCAGTACACCCCAACCAAAAAAAAAATTAATTGAATTAGAAAATGAGTTGTGAACTTAAGTTATTAAATCACATAAGCTATTGAGCTTCATATTTGATATTGAACTTCATAAGTGTTGTTAAAAAATAAAGCAAATAAGGCAAAATTTTTATTGAACTTAACCATACAACAGAAAAACTAGTAAATATACATCACATACAAATCTATTACCATATAATAGATACAAAATTCACTTATATGTAATAAATATTCATATTTCAATAAAAAATTTAAATAAGTTAATATTATCAGAATTGTGAGACAGTAGGCTATCACAAAATGTTACAGGAAATGGCAATAATCTGCAAATAACAGGATTATTTCTATTATATTCTAAATGCAAGTTTTATCTCTACTTATATAGATTTTATAACAGAACATTAAAAATTAAATTTCAGAGTAAATTCCTAGTCCAACTCTTAAACTATGATAAGATATTCCCATTTCAAAGAAATTACTGTTTCCCAGAAGAATTATTTTCAATACTGGTAGTCCTCCTATTCACAAAATATAAACCTTTTCTTCTGTCAGAAAGCTCAAAATGTAAAACTTTACATCAGGCTCTTCATTCAGTGTTTTCTTTTCCTCTTGGGTACAGTGAACTCTGAAGACATAAAGTTAAGAAGTTAGTTCTAAATAAAAAAACTGACACTTAAATGATAGTAATTAATAATATACACTTAAACTATATGGCCATTTAACTGGCAGAATGCAAGAATGCCCTCACAGCAAAGATGCAAAAATCTGAAGTCTGACATGCACATGAATTTTCTTCTTCAAAGTAATACTGCAATTTAAAACTCACTGACTCCATTGAGACAGTAATATCTCAATCTCATTGAGATGCCAATCTATTGAGATAATGGATCTTAGTCATCCTAAATGCTACTTAATATTTAGTAAGTTACTCTGAAGATGTTTCATAGAGGTCTGCCCTCCCTATAATTAGCGTTGACCTAGGGTGCCATATTTGAAACATGTCTAGGCCAATGCTATGAGGGATTAAATGTCTAAGGCTTAAATTTCAATTACACCTGAAAATATAACCCAAAACACTAGTATCATACGTCTTTCTGGCTACTATAGCAGACGTCATAATCAATAGCTTTAAAGTATCACCCATTTTTAATAGAAGACACAAAAACATGAAAATTAGGAAAGACTGTGTATTCCACCAAGGAAAAACACAAAAGGAATGGCAGGGAAAGGGAAAAAAAATTAGGACAAAAAAGAAACAGTTTCCTAGAAGAGAGTGGAACAAGGATGAAAAGTACAGCAAGCCAAGAAAACTCTGTCCAGATGACAGAGCAGAGGTCTGGCACAGTTTTCTCTAACAAGATGAAACTGATGGATCCTAACAGATAGCTGTATTCATTCATTTATTGTATTTCAAAGTGTCATATTAATGGTATGATTAATACTGAAATTCCTCAAGAGCCAAGACAGAAGGATCACAAGAACACACAGCCAACTGTCATGTTTTCCAAGAATTCTAAACCTTGATGATCTGTGAGCATATTTCCTTCATTAGTTTGACAAAATTTCATCTGTACCTGTTTCACTAAAATCTTCTGTCTCCTCTTCCTCTTCTGTAATTACAGGCATACTCAGACTTAAAGACTTTTCTTCCTTATGTACATTCTTCACATTACCTGTAAACATTTAGAAATATTTGGAAAAATGATTTTATATGAAAACAAAGAATATTAATCTGTAAGAAAATTGTACACAAATAATGTTATTCCAGGAACATAAATACTAGAATGGTTTCAGTTTTGGTCTGAACCCAAAACTGAAATTATAATGGTAAACAGAAATATGCATTCTAGAATACATATTTTTTAAAGAATGACCATATCCATATCTATGCTTTAAAAATAGTCTATAATTCTTCCACTAAAGAGAACAGAGAAAAAGAGAAGAAACAAAATTAGCCAAAAACAGATGCCTCATTTGATCTTTATCACAAACAAATATCTGCACACATCAAAGAATTACCACATGGGTCACATCAATTTTATCTGTTAATCACAAATTAATGTTAAAGTTGAACAGCCTTCTGTTTTTAGTTTTGCAGGTTGTGTGTGTGCTCAAGACTGAACCCAAGGCCTTGTGCACAATGAGCATGCATTCTACCACTGAGCTACATCCCCAGCTAGCCTTATTTATTTATTTTTGGTGGTGCTGGGGACTGAACCCAGGGCCTTGTGCATGCAAGACCAGCACTCTACCAACTGAGCTATATCCTCAGCCCCTAGCCTTATTTTTGAAGACACATTTTCTTCTTCCAATATATATGTTCTACAAGATATATTTCTCCAGTCAAAATTTACCATTGACTTTCCATTTAAAAAAAAAAAAAAAAAAACTAGATATTTTCTACATAAACTTTTGTGCTTGAAGAAATAGCCTAATTAATCAATTACCACTGTCATATCAGGTGCAATTTAACACCCAATTTTCATGTCCCCGAAGCAACCCCCAAACACATTTTTGCCAGTTGTTTTCCACAAAACCTGGACCACTTCATACATTGTTTATTAATCCATTTCTTCACAGTCTGCATCGTCCCACTAGAATGTAAGTACCACAGGATAGATTCTGTTTTGCTTACATGATGTATTATTGATGTTTGCCCAATATCACGGCATATGGAAGTACCTGGCATAGTAGGGCCTCAATACATTTACTGAATGAGTAAATAAGGATTCAATATGATATTTCATACTACAGATATGTTAATATCTATTAATCCAGGAGGCAAGAAATTTAAAAACATGAGTTTAAGCTTTCCACTCTGATGCATATAAAAAGGGCTGGGTTTTAGGTTTTTTTCCATTTTTTTTTTTTTTTTTAGTTATAGATAAACACAAAGTATCTTTATTTATTTTTATGTGGTGCTGAGGATTAAACCCAGGACCGCACACATGTGAGGCAGGCACTTTACCACTGAGCTACAGCCCCAACCCAGGGCTGGGATTTTAATGGGGTATAGATTTTGTGGAATGGAGACTGCTCCAAGGTAAAGTTGAGTAACCTATAGTAATATGCTTCCATTTTGTTTTTGTTTTTGTTTTGTACTGGGGATGGAATCCAGGGGCTCTCTATCATTGAGCTACATCCCTAGCCCTTTTGTTTTTTATTTTGAGACAGGGTCACACTTAAGACTCCACTTAAGACCATAGGTTGCTTAAACTGCTAAGGCTGGCCTTAAACTTTCAATCCTCCTGCCTCAGCCACCCAGGTTGCTGGGATTACAGTTATGCACCAATACACAGAGCTAATATGCTTCCATTTTAAAACATGATTCAAACTTAATGAAATCTCAATTTACACTAAGTCATTAAAATAGGATTTACCCTTTATTTGCAAGTACTAAGTATTTGGGGTTTTTTGTTGTATGTTTGTTTTGTGGTGCTAGGGATTGAAACCAAGGCCTTGTGCATACGAGTCAAGCACTCTACTAACTGAGCTATAATTTCAGCCCTGCAAGTACTAAGTATTATACAAAATGACTTTTTATTTGATCGTTAAGCTGACAGATAAATTTCTAGGAAACCTCTTTCCATAGCTTATATCTTTTTTTTAAGAATTTGAACCCATAAATTTTTTCAGTTGTTCACAAAACAATAATTAGTACTACCTGCCCAAAATTACTAATATTGTTCTTCACAATCTTTTAGCCATCTTCATTTATATTGTCAATGTTTTTAAAAATCCATATTTACCTAAAAGAATCTATCCAACAATGTCAAGGGAAGGATTTCAAGTTAAAAATGACAGCTGAGAAGCAAAGCGTCACCTTGTTAGTGGAGGATTGATAAGGTTTTAGAGATCTATCTCTGTTAAATCAATCAGTGTTCTCTAAAAAACTCATAACAAATACAGTGTTTTACCTACCTAGAGGGCAGCCAGAAACCAAGAATCACACAAAACTTCAGGATTTTTACCTCAAGGTCCACCTACTCACAAGTGTGTTCCTCAGACCTTTACTTAGAACTCATTACATTTATTGGATATAAAACTGAAATGAATGGTTAACCAGTTTCCTAGGCCATTAAAAGTATAGAGGCAGCAAAAAATTGCTTTATGGCTGCACACTGAGAATAGAAAGAGACCCAGTTATAGTATAGGTCACAGAAAACCATTTAAAAAAAATAAGGCCTAAGTATGAAGTACTGCAGCATTAAGCCATTTAGTATAAAATAAATTGCCCCACATAGTTAAAATACTTCTTTTTTTTCTTTTTTTTTTATATTTATTTATTTATTTTTTAAGTTTCCGGCGGACACAACATCTTTGTTTGTATGTGGTGCTGAGGATCGAACCCGGGCCGCACGCATGCCAGGCGAGTGCGCTACCGCTTGAGCCACATCTCCAGCCCTAAAATACTTCTTGATAGGATTACTGTGTTATAAAACTCAGAAAAATAATATGTTCATGATAATAACCACAAACCATCAGGAGAAATTAAATTATGTTCAGGACATAGTGACCTAGAAATGAGAGCATAAAATACATTTTTGATTATTTTCCTGCATATGAAAATGATAAATGAACCCTAGGAAACAAGAAATATCAAAAGAAAACAATATATTTTACAAAGGTATCAAAAATAATTTTTTAAAATTTTTAAAAATATTTTTTAAGTTGTAGACGGACACAATATCTTTATTTTTGTTTGTTATTTTTATGTGGTGCGAGGGACCGAACCCAGGGCCTCATACATGCGGGGCAAGCGCTCTACCTCTGAGCTACAACCCTAGCTCTTAAAATTTTTAAAGTAACTTTTGACATTTAAATTATTAACCTCCAGTATCCACAAAACTAATTCCCCAGAAAGTGTCAGATAGATAGTTTTATACCATGATCAAAGCTACTCTCTGTGGAATGCAACCATCAGTTATAGATCAAATGGCTACTGGACATGCAGCTAGAATACAACTAAGAATGAACTTAATTTAAATGCATGTCTAATTTGAGTTGCAGATCCACATATTCAATTACCTGAGAGGTAGCACAATTAACAACTCAGGTCTGGATTCAGGTAGACTCATACAAGTCTCGGTTTTGCTATTTATTAGCCGCGTGACCCTGAACCTGTGAGAAAAATGTTAGTAGGGGGCAAGTGTTACATAATCACGGTTGTCATCATCTTTACCATCCTATTATTACTATTACTGATGTCCTTCAGACAACTCGCATGTTACATTCTAGGAATGATGAACAAGTACAATTGAAACTGAAATAATACAAATAAATTCAATCAATATACTAGGCACCTATTTATGTGCCAGACAGCTATTACAGGAACTGAATCTGGCAAGACAGCCTGAGGCAAATTCTCCTCAAAATGAAATGCTCATCATACTATCCATGTTTCTCCAACTTTCTCCCAACTGCTTAGGCATGCAGCATTCTTGTCTCATCCCTTTCCTTCAGCCCTCATGTTTGCTCTCACAGCTATTAGCCTCTCTGCAAATTCCTACAACTACCTGGTTAGATAGTCATTATTCCCAAACCTGAACTATTATGTCAGCCTTCTACATATTCCTTTTTTCAGCCTGTTATCTCCTACCTACCATAATACTCCCAGATTGATCTTTTTTAAGGAAAACCCCTTCTGGCTCCACTTTCTTTCAACAGTTTTAGAAGACCCTTCAGCTCCCAAATTAATTTTAAACTTCTTCATTGCACGCTTAAGGCCAAGTCACAATACAATCCAACACATTTTTCCAGCATTATTAATAGTGAAGACATCTTTTATCCAACCAAAATGAAACCCTCACTCTATGTCCCAGGTGCTTTGTCTTTTTTTTCATGCTGATCCCTCTGCTCGTCTTAATCTATGCGCTTTCTCTACCTTTTTAATAACTGTGAAGTACTCCTATATAGGATTGACAATAATTTTATCTACCCAAATTTTTAAATATTATACATTTGAGTTGTTTATAGTCTTTGCCATTTCAAATAATCCTACAATGAATGTCTTTATGCATTTGTCATTTGAACAGAATGAATTCCTAGAAATTGAATTTCTTAGTTAAATGGCATGCACAATGACAGATGATTTCAAATTGCTGTCTTAAAAGGATGTGCCAATTTACTCTCCCACTTAAATTCAGTAATTTTTATGTCCTCACACCTTCATTATCATGAGTATTCAGTTACCTTAAATCTTTGCTGACCTATCAAATATCAAAATCATGTTTTAATTTATACTTCTTTAATGATTAACAAAATTAAATATCTGTGTTAGTCAGCTTTGTGTCATTATGACTAAAATACCTGACAAGAATAACTTAGAGGAGGGAAAGTTTATTTTAGCTCACAGTTCCAGAGGTTTAGTTTATGGTCAGCCTAGTCCAGCTCTAGGCCCAATGTGAAACAGAACATCAAGGGAGAAGTGGGTGTGGTAGAGGAGCACTGCTCCATTCATGGCAGCAAGGAAGCAGAAAAAGGGGAGGTAGGAAGGAGCTGCGGGGAGGATGAACTCTTCCAGGGCCAATCCCCACTGACCTACCTCCTCTAGCCATGCCCCACCTACCTACAGTTACCACCCACTAGTCCATCCAAACTAGGATGGACTGATTATATCACAGTTCTCACAATCTAATTATTTTACCTCTGAATATTTAATAACCCATTCTTT